ACTCAAGCCATCATGACCACAACACTGAAAATGTTTTGCTGGCTGCAGGATTGACGTGATCTGGGTGAGAATTGTACTGTGAGCTTATTTACACCCTATTTTTCGACATTTTTACACTTCAGGCCTGTTTGGATCTTGGAAACACACACGGAGAATCATTCTCCTGTGCAGGTTCCACCACAGTATTGAAAAACAATTAAAAACAATTTAACACCATGGGATTTTTTTGATTTGAGGTCAACTTCTGTCTCTCTATCCATAAGGCACAATACTACAAACTACCATTTACAGCAGCTAAAATGATGTGAAAAATAAAAAAAGATTGAAATAAAGCATTAAAAATTTCACAGGCTTAACGTTATTTTTATTAAGAATCAAGTCTTTACTGCTGCAAATCTAATCAGCATTTTCCAAACAGACAGAAACAAGCTCCCTACCCTGAATCATTCTCAACTTAATGATTTCTCATATTCCAAGAGATTCATTCCAGATGTGCCACAATTCTCACCTGCAGTGCCTCATCCTCCCAGCTCTTTCACCTTCCCAAAAATAAACCTCTCCCCAGGCTTCCTGCCCACTACCCACCTCAGCATGGCTCCTGCTCTCTCCCCAGTGCCTCCCCTCACCCCCACATCTCAGCACACTGTCCCACAGCAGGAATTTCAGGGATTCCCACATCCCCAGCAGCACAGAATGCTGTGGCATCGCTTGGAACTCACCCACACCCAGCTCAGAGAACTCCACACCCTCCATGGCTCCCTGCTCCTTTGCATATGGCTCTTCCTCCTCTTCCTGCTTCACGGTGACAGCAAGGCTCTGCTCTGGAATGCTGCAGTCTGCTGAGGAAAAGAGGAAACTCCTTTACTGGGAAAGAGAAAACTCCTTTACTGGTTATCGCATCCCCACTGGACTCTTCCCTTGCTGCCCCAGAAGTTTGTGCCCGCTCACCCACCCTGCTGCCACTCAGAATCTCTCAGCACCTTCCATTCCTGCTCCTGGGAGCTCTGCTCTGCCCTGCAGGGAAGTGGTTCCCCCTGTTCCCCCCAGCTCCAGAGTGTCCTCCACACCCTCAAGCCCAGGCCCTTCCACAACACTCACCATGGCCAGGTTCAGCCAGCCCTGCTCTTCCCTCTTGGTTTTCCTGCGCTTCTCTGCTGTCCCAGCTGCTCACATTGAGTTCAAACAGCAGAGCCTCTGCCAATGCCAGAAATCATGGAGTCAGATCACAGAATCCCAGGAGGGTTTGGGTTAAACTTGTTCCACCCTCTGCCATGTGCAGGGACACCTTCCCCTATCCCAGATTGCTCCAAGCCTTGTCCAACCTGGCCTTGGACACTTCCAGGGATCCAAGCACAGGGCAATCTGTGCCAGGGCCTCACCGTCCTCACAGCCAAGAAGTGAGGATGTGACACAAGTCTTCCTGACTTAAAATCCTAAAAATCCAGCATGTTACACTTTTTTATCACCCTCTCTTACTCCCCCTGAACCTGTTCCTTCTGAGATCCAAGAAGTTCCCTCCGAGCAAACCAGGACCATCACCTTGTGATGGCCAGCGTCTGTCTGGTGACAGCACCACACGACCCTCACCCTCAGGATTAAAGCTTTAATTCATCCCTGGCCTGCACCTGGTTCTGCTGGGATCTCTCCAGGAGCTGCCTCCTCCTCACTGCAGGGCGCTTCTCCTCCCTGGAGCTGGGACAGGAGGGCAGGTTCGGAGATGACATCGTCTGACAAGGAACAGAGAAAGGAATGAATGTTCCTGTGCTGCATCTGCAGGAAGGAACACACCCAGCAGCGCTCCCCAAACCAGCTCCAGCAGCTACAACACATGGCTCGGCAGCACGGAGTGTCCTCAAACACAGGCAGCGGTCTCACTGTGTTCCCACAAATCTGCTTCCCACGTCTGGGAAAGATTCCCTAACCAGAAAGTGCTGATAACTGACACAACAGCAACACTCACCCAGCAGGACGAGGGCTTCTCTCTTCCCTGTCAGCACCTTTCCATACAGCTCCCTCTGCCACTCCTCCAGGTTCTCCCACTGCTGAGTGGAAAAGCCGGTGGCATCGTTTTCCAATGCCACAGCTGGGGCCTGCAATCCCAAAAATGACAGTCAGCACTGCTCCTGGAACACAGAGAATCCTACTCCCTACTTATCCCTGCTCCCAGGTGTCAGGGAAAGAAAATTCCTGCCTTGGGGCATCCTCTGGACACTGAGAGTAACACTTTGGATCTTTGCTAAACTTTGGGAGATGAAATGTGTATTCCACAATATTCTTACTTCCCCCTGGCGCCTGATCCCATTGGGGACCTCAGAGTGGGGAAGAACTTCCCGCTGTTGGTAAAAACGTGACAGTCCATCCTTTTGTGGGGAAAACCAGCTGAGTATAACAATACACAGGAGCAATCACTTCCTGCTTCGTGCCTCGGCACGACAGGCGACAGAAGAAACCTTGGCAGAGATCGTGGAACGATTTCCATGGCGGAAGGCTGCCGGGAGAGGTGAGGAGCGGAGGAACCTCTGCGCTGTCCCTGTCCCTCCCAGGCCCTTAAAGACCCATCCGTTACCTTGGGGACTTCCACCCCGGGGGGCAGCCGCAGGATCCAGAGAGATGCCCCAGGCCCTTGCTCAGCTCCAGGAGCTCCTGTCCCTGCTGTGCTGAGGATCCAGAGCTGGACACAGCACCCAGAGGTGCCTCTAGGGCTGGGCACAGGAGCAGGATTCCTCCCTGACCTGCTGGGAATGCTCTTCCCAATGCACCCCAGGATCCCACTGGCCTCTTTTCCCCAGCACACTCTGTTGGCTCAAGGACATCTCATTGTCACCTAGGATTCCCAGTTCCTTCCCCACGGATCAGGTCACCCCCAGCCTGTGCAGGTACCTGGGGTTGTTCCTCCCCAGCTGCAGCACCTGCGCTTGCCCTCGTTGAGTTACAGAAATTTCCTCTCTGCCCACCTCTCCAACCTGCTGGAGTCTCTCTGAAGGACCACACAGCCCTCGGGGTGATCAGGCACTCCTCCCAGCTTTGATCCCTCAGCAACCCCAGTCAAACAACACCGAGCCCAGCAGAGCCCCGTCCCGCAGCCACACCCGGTGCCGCCGGCCCCGACCCTCCGGGAGCTGCCACTCAGCCACTTTCCAACCCATCCCACCGCCCACGCATCCAACCAGCCTACCCCTCCTGGAGCTCGGTGCCGCCCTCCCAGCCCGTCCCTCCATCCCTCCGTCCATCCAAGCCGCCCCGCCGGGAGCTCGGTGCCGCCCCTCCGGCGGCGTGTCCCGTGCGGGCCCGCCCCGGCCGCAGCGGCGCGGGCCATGGCGGAGCTCCAGGCGCGCCTCGAGGCGCTGGAGCGGCGGATGGAGCGGGCGGAGGCGGCGCTGCAGGAGCGGCCCCTCGCCGCCCTGCGGCTCCACGGGGTGAGCGCCGCGATGGGCGAACCGGGGCAGCCCCGGAGGGGGCGAGTGATGGGGGGCGAGGAGGGCTGAGAGTGGGATGGGGGAGTCACTTATGGGGTCATTGTGGGGCTGGAGCTTGGGAGTGAGACTGGGGGGGGCACTGAGGGGCTGGTGGGAGGTTGAAGGGGAGCCTGGGGGTCGCTTTTGGGGCTGTTGGAAGGGGGGTTTGTGGCTGGGAGGGAGCCTGGGGATCGGCGGTGAGGCTCTTGAGGGCTGGGAGCGGTTTGGGGGGCTCCTGAGGGGGCTGCGGTGGCTTTCAGGGGACGGGATGGGAATCCAGTGGATTCCCGGCTGGCCGGGAGCCGCTCGAGTGGCTCCTCAGGGGGCAGCACTGGGTTTCAGGGAACTGTGGGGATGAATCCGTTGGACTCCTGGGGATCTGGGAGCTGTTTGGGGGAGCTGCGGTGGCTTTCAGGAGACTGGGGATGAATCCAGTGGACTGCTGGGAGCAGGCTGGTTTAGGAGACTGGGAGTGAGCAAGGGGGACTCCGTATGGGGATTTTGGAGCTATTGAAGGGCTGGGGGGGGGGAGGTCTGAGGGTCTGGGAGTTGTTCTGGGAAGCTGCCCTGTCCCCCATCCCAGCTGGTGCTGCAGGTCCCGGTGCTGTTCGAGGATGTGGCAGTGCGGTTCAGCCGGCAGGAGTGGGCAAGCCTGGACGAGGGACAGAAGGAGATGTACCGGAGCGTCATGGAAGGCAACTACGAGATGCTGGTGTCCCTGTGTAGGCTGCGTTTGCGCCGGTTTGGCAGCCCCAGGGAGCTCTCTTGGGGTCATTTCCCTGCCTCTTTACCTTTCACTGGAATCTCCAGCTCTCAAATAATCCTCCCTTTTCCCTGTCCCCTCCGGCAGCGGTTGGAGTGTGGCAGGGACACGCAGGACAGGGTAGTAAGTGCTTGGTGTCTTTTCCTCGTGGAGAACAGGTACATTGTTGGTGTTGTCATCTCCTTGGGTTGTCACCTCCAAAATTCTCTGCCTGGGACACCCCATTCCATGAGAATTTTCCCTAAAATCCAACCTGAACCTCCCACTTGAAGCTGTTTCCTCTTGTCCTGTTCCCTGGGAGCACGTCCTGATTCCCTCCTGGCTGCACTCTCCTGTCAGGGAGCTGTGGAGAGCCAGCAGATCCCCCCTGAGCCTCCTTTTCTCCAGGATGAGCCCCCCAGCTGCTGGTGCTCTGTTCCCCTGGTCTGTTCCCTTCCCTGGACCCACTCCAGCCCCTCAATGTCGTCCTTGGCATGAGGGGCCCAGAATTGCCCCCAGGATTCGAGGTGTTCCCTCAGCACTGCCCTCATGCAGTCAGGAGCCTCACAATTCCCTTCCCGTTATTCAGGGTATTTTCCTATCTGCAAGGTGAATTTCTGGGAGAACAGGGAATTCTGTAGCAGGGGCAGAGCAAGGATGGGTTTTACAACAGGTTTTCTTGCAGTTGTTCCCAGGGGACTGTCAGAGGCTGCTTTCCACATTCCCCTGTCAGCTCTGCCTGCTGTTTCCTGTCTGTATCCATAACTCCCGTCGGGGCCCCGCTTGGAGATGAAGTTTCCTGGGTTGGGACTGGCTCTGTTGCCCAGCTGTGGGTGCAGAGTCCCTGTCCCATCATGTCCCTGATGTCTGTCCTGCTGTTGCCCAGACTGTGCCCTGTCCAAGCCTGAACTGTTACTGCAGCTGGAAAGAGAAGAGCTGAGCACGGCTCCGGAATCTGAGCCAGAGGCAGCAGAGGTGGCCCCAGAGCTGGCAGTAGGTGTGTGACACTGGGTTCCTTCTGTGCCACGAGCTTCTGGCTGCTCACTGGGACCATGAATCTCAGAATCCCAGAATTCTGGGTTTGGGTTGAGAGGAATCTTAAAGCTCCTCTCTTTCCAACCCCCTGCCATGGGCAGGGACACCTTCCACCAGTGCCGGTTGCTCCAAGCCTTTTCCAACCTGGGACACTCCCAGGGATTGGGAGGTGTTCACTCACTGAGGGAACACCTGCTGGGACATAGCCTGAAAGCCCCTGCCCCAGCAGCTGCTGGGTGTGAGGGATCCTGACACCCTGTGGAATGGGATTTTTCACTGGCTGCTGGTGAATCCAAATGTCCTTGTCCTCCACAGAGCCAGCCCGACAGAACTGCACCAGCAATGATGCACTGCTGGAGACGGAGACAACGGAGAGGGGCTGCAGGGAGCCAGAGGAAAGCAGGAATGTGGCAGAGAAAAGTGGGAACTTGGTAGAGGAAAGCGAGAACCTGGTGGAGGAAAGCTGGAGCCTAGTGGAGATAAGTGGGAACCTGATAAAGGAAATCTGGGATGTGGCAGAGGAGAACAGGAGCCCAGCAAAGGAAAACAGGAGCCCAGCAGAGGAAAGTGGGAACCTGATGGAGGAAAGCAGGAGCCCAGCGGTCCCAGAGAGCTGCAGCACACGTGAGTGCCTGGCTAATCCTGCTGCTGCTGCTGCTGTGAGGGGTCCTGGACCCCTGCCTGGCTGTTCCTTACCCACCTGCATCACTGCTCTTGCCCTCACAGCACCTGTCCCTCTGGAAGCCGCTGCTGTCCTGGCGGATTTCAGCCAGCCGACCCCGTCTTCTCTCCACCCGCTCTCCGTGCACTGTCAGGAAGCCGTGGGTCAGAATTCTTCTCCCCCTGCGGCAGGTACTGGGGCAGAACCCTTAGCCCTCTTTGGTGGGCCCAGCAGCTTGGGGTGGGTCTATTGGGCCTCTCTCCAGGCTTGGGGCTTCCAGGAAAGGGAAGCAAATCCTGTTACCAGCCCTGAAACCATTTGGGATATGGCATGGCATTAGCACACCTGCCCAGACAAGCCCCGGGGTGGTTGTCAGAGTCCCCGTCCCCCTGGGTGATGTTTTCCACCTCAAACTGCTCCTGGGGTGTCTACAGGAATAAGCAGTGGCTGTTCCTGGCTTTTACACAGTCCAGAGACTGAACTGGAAGAGGAGAGCAGGGCTGGATTTGTGCTGGCTGGGAACAGGGTGGGAAGTGAGGGAGGGTGGGAGCAAAGCCCTTTGCTGTTCATGCCCTAAAACCATGTGGAAAGTGATGTTTGGTTCTAAAAAATTCCCAGGAGATGCTGAAGCAGGGATCCCAATGGAGGTGCCGCAGGAGGAGGTTGCCGCAGAGAAGCCGTCAATGCCCAAAACACCGTCTGAGGGTCTGGAAGAGGACAAGGGTCAGGAAGAGGAGGATGTGAAGGATTCAGGGAATACTGGCCAAGATCTGGTGGCCAACATTCCTGAAGAACCAGGAAAGGAAGTGACACCAGATGTCCACAAAACCACAGAACAGGCAGATCCCAGCCCAGGGGAGCCGGAGAAGGACTCCTGCGAGGGCCGGCCCATGGCCTGGCAGCGAAATTCCGCCCGGGAATTTTACTCCTGCCCCATCTGCAGGAAAACCTTCCTGCTGAAGATCAACCTCCTGATCCACCAGCGTGGCCACACTAACTGGGTGCCCTATGTTTGCGTCCACTGCGACCGCAAGTTCATGTCCAAGAAGAAAATCAGGCGGCACCTCCGCGCCTGGGCAGCCAACGGGACGTGCCAGCCCTCGGAGCTGGAGGTGTGTCCCAGCCAGGTGCCATGCCCAGTATCCCATCCCCAAACCTGGGCAGCTAATGGGACATACCAGGCCTCAGAGCCAGAGGAGTGTCCCAGTAGGACACCGTGCCAAACATCCCAGCCCCAATCCTGGGCACCCAATGGCACCTGCCAGCCCTTGGATGCAAAGGCATGTCCCAGCCAGGGGCCATTCCCGGCATCCCAGTGCCCAACATCCCAGCCCCAAACCTGGGCAGCCAACGGGTCCTGTCAGGCTTCGAAGCCAGAGGAGTGTCCCAGCCAGACCCTGTGCCCGTCCTCCCAGCCACAAGCCCCGAGCAGGGACTGTGGCACAGTGTGGCAGGAGCCCGGCCCGGCCAGGTGCTCGATGTCACCTGGAAAAATGATGTACACCTGCACTGAGTGCCGGGAAACCTTCTCCAACCAGGGCTTCCTGACGGTGCACCAGCGCCGGCACTCCGGCCACCACCTCATCCTGTGTCCCTGCTGCAACCGCAGCTTCACCTGGGTCTCGGACTTTGTCCGGCAGCACTGGATGCACATGGGCGTGCGGCCCCACCAGTGCGGCATCTGCCAGAAGACCTTCAAGAGGTTCTCCCACCTCAAGGCGCACCAGCGGATCCACAGGCGGCAGGAGCGGCCGTTCACCTGCGCCAACCCGGTGGCCATGGTGGCGGCACCCGCAGCAGGAGACGGGGTGGGAAGCCAGGCTGTGACCCCCCAGGGATGGGGCGCTGCTGAGGGACCTTGAGGTGTCCTCCCGGGAATGGGAGTCTGCTGTTGGATCTCAGGGTGTACATCCAGGGGTGGGAAGCTGCTGCTGAAATTTGAGGTGACCTCCCAGAGACTTAAGGTGACCTCCCACAATGCTGCTGGTGGACTTTGAGGTGACGTCCTGGACACAGGGTGCTGCTGATGGACTTTAAGTTGACCTCCCTAGGATAGGAGGCTGCTGTCTGATCTTGAGGTGAAGAATGGGATGCTGCTGCTGATGGGCTTTAAGGTGTCCTCTCAGGAACAAGATGCTGCTGTTGAGCTTTGAGGTGACCTCCCAAGAACAGGATGGTGCTACCGGACCTGGAAGTGACTCCCAGGGATGCAATGCTGCTGCTGGATTTTGAAGTGACCTCCTGGGGGCCGGAGGCCACTGTCAGATCTTCTCCCCTCTATCCCTCTCCAGATGAAGGCTGGAACATGGACAACATTTTCTGGCTCCCCTGCCTGGTTGTGGGGACGGGGGGCACCTGCCCAGCCCATGTGAGAGGGGCTCCTTGTTCCCAAGCCCTGGTGGGGCAGGTGGGATGCTGGGAATGGGTCCCTTTTCTGGAGAGTGCCAATAGATGCTGTAGAAACCAGGATGCTGCACGTGGATTCCTTGAGGGGGCTCTGGGAGGGTCCTGCCAGGTCTGGCTGGGTGGGCAGCACCAGGAATGGAATCTGTGGGATGGAGTGATGGAAGAGTGAGAATGGAACACTGGGTGGGAGGTGTCACCTGCTGCTGGGGGGCTGCAGTCCCAGTCTGAGATGGGGTGGGATGGGATTGGGGGTCTGGATGGGCCTCTGGGAATGGCACTGGGGATTTGAGGGCTGGAGCTGTGGTCCTCATGCAAGGGTGGGGATGGATGGGATGAGGATGGAATAGGGGTAGGGTGGGATGGGGGTGAGAGGGGATATGGATGGATGGAATGGGGGTGGATGGGAATGGGATTGATGTAGGGATGGGATTGGGATGGGGTGGGGTGTGACAGAATGGCATGTGGATGTGATAGAAACCAGGACGGAGATGGAGATAGGATGGGATGGGACTGATAGAGCTTGGCTCTTCGCTGTGGGACCTGGCAACAGGACAAGAGGAACGGGCAGGAAACTGATGCCCAGGAAGTTCCACCTGGACAGGAGGAAGAACTTCCACCCTATGCAGTGACTGAGCCCTGGAACAGATTGTCCAGAGAGGGTGTGGAGCCTCCCTCACTGGAGATATTCCACAAGGGTCTTGACACAATCCTGTGCCATGTGCTCTGGGATAACCCTGTTTGAGCACGGAGGTGAGACCAGATGAGCCACTGTGGTCCCTTCCAGCCTGACCCATTCCGGGATGGGGATGGAGATAGTGTGGGGTCGGGCTGTAGATGGGATGGGATGGGATGGGGCTGTAGGTGGAAAGGGATGGGGCTGTAGATAAGATGGGATGGGGCTGTAGATGGCCGGCGGGACCCCCCGGCACCGGCACCCCCGTACCCCCGGCGGGACCCCGGGCCCGGCCGCCTCTCACCGCCCTCTTCCCCCCGCAGCAGGACCCCGAGTGGGCGCCCGAGGCCTGGCAGGGCGCGGGCCCCGATCCCGGCGCGGGCCCCGGCGGGGCGGCCCCGGCGGAGCTGTCGCTGCGGGCCGTGGCGGTGGCGGAGCGGCGGCTGGAGCGGAGCGTGGAGGCGGCGGAGCGGCGGCTGGAGCGGCTGGAGCGGCGCGTGGCGGGGCTGGAGCGCACGGTGCGGGCCGGCGGGGCCCGGCTGGCCGCGCTCCTGAGGGACAACTCCCGCCGCCTCCGCCGCATCCAGCGCCAGCTCCGCCGCTGCCGCTGCGGGGGCAACCGCACCGGCACCGGCACCGGGACCGCCCGGGAGCGGACACAGGTAACCGCGACGGGGTCGGGGCCCAGGGAACCGGGACGGGCTCGCACGGGGACAGGATGGGCCCGGGGGACAGGGATGCCACGCGGGGAATGGGAACTAGCTCCAGGGAATGAGGAAAGGAACGGGCACAGGGGAGTGGGGATCCGGCTGAGCCCACGGGGACAGGGACAGGCTCTGAGGAATGGGGACGGGGAAATGCCAGCCGTGGCAGGGACAAATTCTGGGTAACGGGATGGGGATGAGCCCATGGTGGCAGGAATGGGCCCATGCTAATGGGGATGAATCCCAGGGAACAGGGATGTGCCCCCAGTGACAGGGATGGGGTGTAGGTAATGGGGACAAGCCCCAGATAACAGGAACATGCCAGCAGTGACAAACGGGGACAAGTGCCAGCTAATGGGAATGTGCCAAAGATGGACGGGGATAGCCGTGTCCCAGCTCACAGGGATGTGCCCAGGGTGACAGGGACAGGCCACAGGTGACAGAGATGTGCCCAAAGCAGTGGGAGAGTACCCCAGGTGACCATGTGGCCATGGGAAGTGCTGTTGGCTCTCGGGAGCTGCAGGGAGCCAGATGGACACGGCTCATCTGGTGCTTGTCCCTGTTCCCAGGGAAGAGGGGGAGCAGAACACCCACCCCAAGTGTTTCAGCCATGCTGGGCCTTACTGGAGTAATGTGGGGTGGTGCCACTGTCCTGCTCCCACCTGAGGGGTCACTGCTCACCTGGCTGCCAGGATGGATCCTGGGAATCTGCCCCTGCTCTGGGGAGGAACAGCTGAGCCTTGCTGGGATGTCTGGGGATGTTTCCCCTGACATGGCTCTGTCCATAGGAGCTCCGGACCCCCAGGGGCTCGGGGAGGGGCTCAGTGGGGACCCCCAGCAGGAGCCTCCTGTACTTCCAGGTGCCAGCGGCGGGCGAGGGTGAGGAGGCCGCTCTGCCGGAGCAGGAGCTGGGGAGCGTGGGCAGCCGGGAGCTCCGTGGGATCGCCAGGAAGGGGAATTATGAGGCCATGGTCCCTCTCGGTGAGGATCACTCAGATCATGTCAGAAGCATCATCATCCCTGGGCTGATGCAGCTTCCAAACCTTCCCCACGTGGAACATGGGGGGATTCCAGGTGACATGTCCTGCAGCTGGCGTTCCTGCACTGTTTTTTCCTGGGATATGGGCTGTACATGGATCATCCTGCAGGGATTTTCTGCAGAGGGTCCTACATTTTAGTACTCTTTAATTTTGGGCTGAAATTTTAGAGCTTGGGTGTCCATCAGGCACTTCCTGGGATAAGCAAAAATCCCATGCCTGGTTTGGCTGCCATTGGCCTGTGTGATCAGATGTCCTGGAATTCCAGGACCCTACTTTGGGTGGTCCCCACTGTCAGCAGCTCATCCCATTGCTCCCTCCTTCCCAGGGTCCGAGGATGCTGGTTCCAAACCTGCACTGCTGCCACCAGCCGAGGACAGGGAGGATCCAGGGAGCCCCGGGCTGCCAGAGAAGGGCACGGTGCCAGGACAGCTTGGTGACAGTGAGTGACAGCGAGGGGGGCTGAGGATGGGCACTGACAACCTGCCCAGATTGGGCAGTGTTCTTAAGGATGGAAAATGGGAAAACCTGGGGCAAGGTTCAATGATGGTGGCTCTGGAGCTGGGTACCTGTGGGTGGATCTCCCTCCTGCTTTGGGGAGGCTTTGCTTTGATCCTTTTCCCTGGATTCACACACTTAAACTCTGCCATTCCTGACGGGGTTCTTTCCAGGATGGAGCACTCTGCACCTCAGCTTTGCCTTCACATTCCGTTTTTGTTTTTTTTTTTTTTTTTTTTTTTTGTGAGGATTGTATTGTCAGTCCACAGTGTCATTGAGTCCAGCATGCCCGGGGCAGTGGTGAAGTCTCCATTCCCGGAAGGACTTAAAAGCTGTGTGGATGTGGCAGTTGGGGACATGGGACAGTGGTGGCCTTGGCAGTGCTTAGTTGATGATTGGACTTGATGATGTTGAAGGGCTTTGCAAACCTCCCTAATTCCGTGATTCCATGATGTCCCTGAGGTCCAACAAGCTGCCCAGACAGCCCCCCTGCACCTCATCTCCTCCTGGGAATCCTTTCCTGCTCCCTTTTGTTCTTTGCCAGTTCCTCTCACCTCTGCTCCCGCTCCCACTCTGGAGCTGCAGGCACGGGAGGCCTTCCCTTCCCGGGAATGAACTGCGGTCTCTCCACAGGTGAGATGATCGTGATCAAGACGGAAGAGCAGCAGCCGCAGGAGGACGCAGCCGAGCTCCTGGCACTGCCGATGGTGCCGGCGGTCAGGCTGGACGAGGAGGTTCCCCTCAGCCAGGAGCAGCCGGTTTCCTGGGAGAGCCACGGCGTGGCCGGGCCGAAAGCGGCCGGAGAGGGCTTGGGGGAATTCTGCCTGGGGGAATTCAAGCCGGTGGTGGTGCCGGTGGAGGCTCACCCTGCCCCGGGCCTGCCCTTCCCCACGGAGCACGCGCTGGGCGCGGGCACGGAGCAGCCGTTCGCGCTTGCCCAGGGAATGCCGCTGGGAGAAGACCCCGCGGCCGAGGTGGCGTCGCCGCAGCCCGGCTGGGAGCAGCAGAGTCCCCAGGACGATCCCCGGGTGCTGCCGCCGGGCTGGAAGAGCGTCCGGCTGACGCGGAACCTCCTGGCGCGGCAGCAGAGCCGGGAGAGGAAGAGCAACGGCTCCTTCATCTGCACGTCCTGCGGGAAGAGCCTGGCCCACCACGCCGCGCTGCTGCGGCACCAGCGCCTGCACACGGGCGAGCGGCCCTTCCAGTGCCCGGCCTGCGGCAAGAGCTTCAACGAGAAGTCCAACCTCAACAAGCACTACCGGATCCACACCGGGGAGCGGCCGTACCGCTGCCCCGCCTGCGGCAAGGGCTTCGTGCAGAAGCACCACCTGCAGAAGCACCAGCGCATCCACGGGCCGCAGCTGCGCAGCGCGTGGCCGGGCCGGGCGGCGCGGGGCAGCGCCGCCGGGGAGCGGCTGTACCGCTGCATCGAGTGCGCCGAGAGCTTTCCCCAGAAAGCATCGCTGGAGGAGCACCAGCGCCGGCACACCCAGCAGCGGCCCTTCCAGTGCCACGACTGCACCAAGAGCTTCCGGCACCGGCAGTCGCTGAACCACCACCAGAAGGTGCACGCCGTGGCCACCTCTCCAGCCGGCAGCTTGCCGGGACATGAGCCGGAGCTGGAGCCCTGCGAGGCTCTGAGCCAGGACAATCGGTAGCCAGAGGGCTGGAGAAGGGAAGGGACAGTGGTTCTTCAGCCTGGGACACACCGAGCAGCTGGGACTTGTGGCAGCACCGGGAGTTTGTGCACGATGCTGTGGGACCACCTGGGTCTCAGGAGGAGGAGGAGGAGGAGGGAGCCTGCTGTGCTGTTCGGCAGGGAAGGGCCCAGGGTGGGATGGGACTGGCCACGAGGCAGCAGAGGAGGGTGAGTGACTGGAGCTGACCCGGCTGTGCCGCTGCCCTGTGGATTCAGCAGAGGAGGGGCCCTTTCAGATCCCATGGTGGAACTCGGGTTGTTTGAACACCAGCACTGTGCAGGGAGGGGGGCTGGGAGCGGTCAGTGGCCTGGGGGCAGCTGATAGCCCCGAGAAGGCTGTGGGGGCTGGGTGGGAAGAGAATCAGATAAAAGACTGAGCTGACTGGTCTCCTGTTGTGCTCTGGGGCACCTGGGGGGTGACATCCCTGGCTCAACAGGGATGGGGCCATCAGGGGAGGAATGCAGAGCTACCTGCTGGGAATGTGTGATGGGAATGTGGAGCAGTCACACAGGAATCCCCCACAGGATTCTCAGTAGGATCTGGGCACTTTGGGACTCCCTGGCAGTGCTGAGGGACATGTCCCACCCATGGTGGCCAGGCCCATTCCATCCCCTGCCCTTCCCTGCTTCCCTCACCGCTCATCCTTCCTGGCTGGCATTCCGCAGCTCTCCCAGTGGTCTGGGGGCTCTGGAGCTGCTGGCACTAACTCCCAAAACCCTCCTGCTGAGAGCTGTCCTGGCTGATCCCAGTTCTGTGCCCACAGGCACCAGCACAGCCTCCAAAGCAGCCAGACATAGAGACAAATACTTTATTGATTCCACAGCCTGAGAAAGGGATCGGGAATGTCGCAGGAAATGCTGCTCCTGGTTACAGCAGATTTAGAAATGCCAGGCTGGGGCTGCTCGCCCTCCTGCTGGCCTTCAGCACTGGCACACCAGCTCAGCCATGCCCCTAGGATGGACTGGGGAGCACTGGCATCTCTACCTGGGCAGGGATAACAGGGATAACCAGCCACTGGCTCACTGCCAGATCCATGGCCATGTGTCTGCCTGGCTCCTGCTGCAGGCTGGGAATGCTCCACACTGCAATCCCAGGGGCAGGAAGTGTGAGACACCAGCCCGGAGGAGCAGTGGGATGTCGTGTGTATTCCTGTGGAGCAGCTCAGATGCTGCTGTCCATCCCATGGAGCAGGAGGTGGCTGAGGGTCATACCTGGATGTGGCACAGGCATTCCCTCAGCTCCCAAAGCTTCCTACAGCAGCACCAACACACCTTGGGAGTGACTTGGAATGAAAGATGGGAAAGGCCTACCAGTGCTCACTGCTCAGAGAGGAACAGAGATCTCAGGATATCAAATAATTACCTCAAACAACTCAAACCGAAAAAAAAAAAAAGGAAAACTAAATGCAAGAGTCCCAACAGCTGCTCCACCGTGTCCATGTGGCGCTGGCTCCGGGCGGGAGGTTCTCCCTGTGCACAGCCAGCATGTGGAAGGCACGTGGGGCTCTGGCCAAGGACACTGCTCTGGTGGCTCCAGGGGACACTGGGGCAGCGCCAGGCCTGGCTTCCACTGGCTGCCTCTGGGCAGGTCCCCTCTCCCTGACTGAGGTAGCTGCAGAACTGTTTTCCCATAGGATTCATTATGGTGGGATTTTGGGCAAAAGGGGACGAGCTGTGGTTGGGAGAGTGGGAGTTTTCTCTAGAGCTGAGGGGATGCTCCGTGCAGGCGGATCCACAAGGATTGGGGTGCTGCTGCAGCATGGGGCTGGCTGACCCGTCAAGTATTCCAAAAATCATTCTGCACCTGTGCAGGATAGTCCTGAGAGTGCCTGTGGCCTTCCTCACGGACCTGCCGGGATCCCCGGAATATGCCAGCACAGAATATTGGGGTTTGGTTTGTCCTATGGATCTTCCAGTGCAAAGCTCCAGTGTTCCCAGCCTGCTGAAGGGGCTGTTGGCGGATCTCCTCCCCAGGGTGGGGGTGGCAAGGGTGGCCAGGACACGGTGGGGTCTCAGAGATGTCACTCACCATCTGGTGTCTCAGTCAGGATGCTTGTTCCATGGAGCAAAGGGCTGCATGGGAATGCTGCCAGCTCCATTCCCTTCTCTCTGCCCTCTTCAGTTGTGTTTCTGAATGCAAGGAGTCAGCTCCAACATCAAGGAATGCGAAAGCTCTGCTCCTGTATGACCAGGATTCACCTGGTCATCTCCCAGGAATGTCAGCTTGGGAAAATTCCAAGTATCAGCCAACAGGAACAAGTCAGTGGAATGGTGAAGCATTATGGATCACTGGAGGCTTCTGCAATTTGCTCTCTATTGCGTTCACCAAGCTTCCCATTCTTTCTACAACCCGGGAAGCTCCTAAAACACAGCAGATTCCCATTCTTGGTGTCCCACCAGGTGCAAACCCAACAAACAGCTTCCTTCCAGGGACACGCACGGCTCAGATCTGTCCCGGGGTCTGTCATCCGTCATTTCTCTGTCATCTCCGAAACCACTGCCCTGGATCCCAGCTGGACCACGGGCTGCACAGCTTTCCTGATGCAGTCAGGGAGTGGGGAGCCTTTGTCTGGGAGCCCCACTGGCGCCGCCTCCAACAGCAGCACACTGGGCAGGCTCGCTTTTGCAGCCTCAGGGCTCCCATTCTCTTGGGAAGGGCTCCTCTCGGAGTCGGGAGCTTGGTGCTGCAAGGATGCCGGGATAGCAGCAGGGTGCTGGGCCTTGGCCTTCTGCTGGAGTGCGGCCAGAGCCCTCTCGTGGATCTTCTTGTGGCGCAGGAGGTGAGTGCTGCGGGTGAAGCACTTATTGCAGGAGCTGCAGCAGTAGGGCCGGTCCCGCTTGTGGGTCTGGAGGTGCCGCCGCATCGACGTGGACCAGGCCAGGAACTTCTTGCAGTGGGGGCACTTCTGCCTGGAATTGGGCGGCTGCACGATCCCTGTGCCAGACAGGCCCTCTCTGTCCGGCTCCTCCTTGGGCTGGCCCAGCCAGGTCCCCCCGGCGTGGCCGCCGCCGCCCAGCCGGTGGCCGTCGCCGCACAGGTCCCTGCGCGGGCGGATGCGCAGCTCGGGGTGGACGTTGCCCCAGACCTTGGCCCCGAAGGCTCTGTCCTTGACGTGGATGCTGCGGTGAAGGTCCAGGTGCCGTTTGGTGCTGAAGCCGATCTCGCACACGGGGCACTCGTAGGGCCCCTCCTTGGCGTGGCTGCGCTGGTGGATGATGAGGTTGATCTTGAGGCGGAAGCGCTTCCCGCACTCCGTGCAGGGATGGGACCATTCCCGCACGTACCCGCGCCGGCAGTTGCCCATCAGGAGGTTGCTGGCCTCGCACCGGTTCGGCTTTTTCTTGATCTTGGCTTTCACCAGCTCATTTTTGGGACACTTCTGGATCTCTGAGTCGGGAGAGGGTGTGGATTCCTCTGCCAGCAGCTCAGGCTCCTCTTCCTTCACCTTGATGTCCTCAAGAGAAGCCCCTTCACACAGTGTTTCATCTTCCATGGATAAGGCTTCCTCTGGAACAGAGAAACACCATGTTGGTGTCAGCACCAGTGTGACACAAGACCAGGGCCCCGCCCTGTGCTGGCACTGCCAGGGCATCTCCAGTTCCAGGGGCAGCTCTGGGCTTCTCATGACATGAAAGACATTGAGGGGCTGGAGCATGTCCAGGGAAGGGAACAGAGCTGGGGAAGAGTCTGGAGCCTCAGGAGGGGCTGAGTGAGCTGAGAAAGGGACTCAGCCTGGAGAAAAGGAGGTTCAGGGGGGACCTTGTGGCTCTGCACAATTCCTGACAGGAGGAGGGGTGGGCTTTGCTGCCAGGGTATAGGGACAGGGCAAGGGGAAACAGCCTCAGGCTGAGCCAGCGAAGGTTCAGGTTGGATATTGGGAAAATTCCTTCCCCAGAAGGGTTGTCCAGCCATGGCACAGTGGCCCAGGGCAGGGATGGAGTGCCCATCCCTGGAGGGCTCCAAGGCTGAGCCCTCCGTGGGTACCATCGGGACCCCACCTCTAAACCCACATGATGTTGCAGGAAAAAATAAAAGGAACCCCTGAAGCTTCATTTTCCCTCCCTATTTCAAGCCCATCAGCTCTGGAAGCTGCTTCCCACACTCTGCCAGGCCCCATGTCCCCAGCACAGGGTGACTCACCAGTGTCAGGCTCTCCCGGGTCCTCCTCCATCTCCACCTCCTCCTCAGCCACTGTTCCCAGCTGATGCTCCCCCAGGGACATGACGTTCATCATCAGGATGGGGACCTCTGTTTGCAGGGAACAGGGATTTGAAAGACCCATGGAGGCCTCCCAGGTCTCTACTCCAGCACTATGAGCCAGGGATTGCTGGGAGTGTGTGGAAGAGCTGGAGAAAGCTGCGGCTCAAGAGCCAGGATGTGGATCAGCTATCAGGAAAATTCCTTCTGGAAAGGGCTGTCCAGCCCAGGAACAGGCAGTGGTGGAGTCCCTGCTCCTGCAGGGATTTAAAAGCCATGTGGATGTGGCACCTGGAGACATGGGGCCTTGGCAGTGCTGGGGGACAGTTGGACCCAATGGTCTCAGAGGGCTTTTCCAACCCCAGCGATTCTGTGGAAAGGCTGGAAGGTGTCAGGAGGAACTGGAGTGAAGCCACACATGGGCCAAAAGCAGAGGGCTGGGAGGGAAGGACACCAAGGTGCCACATGCCACCACCTCAGAGAGCAGCCTCACCCCACCATCTCCACAGGCTGCATTCCCATATCCAGACCCTCTTCCACTGTGCCGTGACATCCCAAGGCTCCCTGGCAATGCCTCTCCATGCACCAGGGCCATGCACCTCTGCCCTGGACGCTGCCAGAGCCCCGGAGAGCTGGGAAAGGGGGAGCACATCCTCCCTGGCACCCCTGGAACTCACCTGGGCCAGCTGCCATGGGCATGGCATCCTCTCCCGAAGCCTCTTCCTGCTGCTCCATCTCTCCTGGTGTCTGTGGGGGCTTCTGATTGTTGGGGACACCTGTCTGGAGGGGCTTCTGACTGTCCCCAGTCTGTGTCTCAGGCAGTGTTTGGCTGTCCCCTTTGTCTGCCTCTGGGGACTTGGGGCTGTTCCCAGTCTGTGTCTGTGGGGGTTTTGGGCTGTTCCCACTCTGTGTCCTTGGGGACTTTGGGCTGTTCCCATTCTGTGTCCTTGGGGACTTTGGGCTGTTCCCACTCCGTGTCCATGGGGACTCTGGGCTGTCCCCAGTCTGTGTCTGTAGGGTTTTCTGGCTGTTCCCACTTCGTGTCCATGAGGATTTTGGGCTGTCCCCAGTCACTGTCTGTGGGGGGTTCTGGCTGTCCCCAGTCTGTATTTGTGGGGTTTTCTGGCTGTTCCCACTCCGTGTCCATGGGCACTTTTGGCTGTTCCCACTCTGTGCCCATGGGCACTTTGGGCTGTTCCCACTCCGTGTCCATGGGGACTCTGGGCTGTCCCCATTCTGTGTCTGTAGGGTTTTCTGGCTGTTCCCACTTCGTGTCCATGAGGATTTTGGGCTGTCCCCCGTCTGTGTCTGTGGGGGGTTCTGGCTGTCCCCATTCTGTGTCTGTAGGGTTTTCTGGCTGTTCCCGCTCCGTGTCCATGAGGATTTTGGGCTGTCCCCAGTCTGTATCTGTGGGGTTTTCTGGCTGTTCCCACTCCGTGTCCGTGGGGATTTCGGGCTGTTCCCAGTCTGTGTCTCTGGGGGTTCCTGGTTGTCCCCAGTCTGTATCTGTGGGGTTTTCTGGCTGTCCCCATTCTGTGTCCATGAGGGCTCGGGACCCTTTTTGTTGCTGGGCTCTTCATCCCTCTTGAGGCAGGTCCGGCCGCTGGGCTTGGACTTGGCACCGTCTGTTCCCAGGGCACAGAACAGGGGCTTTGTTAGGATTTAACCGCACCTTTATCCTGCCAGATTCCCAAAGTGAGCCTTGTCCCCTCTCCCAGCCCCGGCAGAGACACAAACACCTCCAACCCCGGTGGCAGAGCTGCCTCCTTGGCCCCATGGCAGGATCCACACAGGAGAGAAGCTCCGAGTAACAGAACATGAACCCCAAAGGAGATGTCCCTCTGTGTCCCTTTTCCTCTCCCCAAACTCCCACCTGGGCTCCAGGTGAGTTTTCCCATGGGACAGCACCTGCCCAGTTTTTCCTGGGGTGCCTTTAACCTTCCCAGCTCCTCAATCCTGCAGGAAAGAGCCCTCGACCACGGCTCTTCCCACATCTCTGCTGCTCCCAGATCTGTCTGGGTCTGTCTGTTCTTTTCCAGCACCTTCCACCTTCCTGCCCAGCCCTCCCACTCTAAATCCATGCCCCAAGGCTCCCCAGACTCCTCTGTTCCCCCAGGACAAGCCAAGCAGCTCCAGCCTCGTCCTCCCAGCTCAGCTCCCAGTTCCTCACTTCCCAGCATGTTTCCTGTCCCTGCACAGCAGGCAGGAATGTCTCTGGAAGCCCCAGTCTTACAGGAGGCCTCTCCCACTGCTCCAGACCCTCCTGCAAAGCTTTGACTGCTTTCCTCCATGGGATTCATGGGGTTCATCCCACCAAGCACAACCACTCCTCTTGGAATGAAGATTCACAGAGCTCTGGGGTGCTTCAGTCCATGGAGCGAGCCCTTCCTTCCTCAGGAAGGGGAGATCTCCAGGAACAGCCACCTCCTCCTGGCACCCACCTGGGGCAGCTTCCATGGGGATCACATCTCCTCCAGCCTCGTCTGCCTTGTCCCTCTCTTCTGCTGCCCGGAGGGGCTCCTGACCGTCCCCAGTCTGTGTCCACGGGGGCTCCTGACCCTCTCTGTCACTGAGCTCTTCATCCCTCTCCATCTGGGACAGGATGTCGGGCTTGGACACGGCGTAGTCTGGTCGTGGGGCAGAGGATGGGGGGTTGATTAGGATTTGGCTGTGTCTTTAGTCGGCACATTCCAACACTGACCCTCGTCCCCTATCCCGGTCCTGGTGGAGACACAAACACCTCATCCCTGCTCCAAACACTTCCTTGGTCCCAAGGCAAGATCCACCCCCAAGCACAGCTTGGGGAGCAGCTGAGGCAGAGAGGATCTTAACCAGCAGAACAAGAACAAAAATCCCAAATGAGGGAAAAGCTTTGGATGGAACATTTCCCTCTAGTGGAAGTCAGGGACACCTCCCACTACCCCAGGTTGCCCCAAGCCCCATCCAACCTGCCTTTGGACACTGCCAGGGATGTGGGCAACCTGGGCCAGGCCCTCACCACCTCACAGCCTTCCAAACCCAGGCTATTCCATGATTCCATGAGCTCCAGCCCCCCAAGCCTTACCCAGGGACACCAAGGTCTCATAGTTGCCCCTCATCACGGCCCTGTACAGATCCTTCTGCCAGCGCTCCAGCCTCTCCCACTCCAGCTCATTGAAATACACCGAGATATCATCGAAGGTGAGCGGCACCTGGAATCACAGGGAACTCCCTGGAACCACGCCTGGCTCGGGACACTTCCAGCCCCGCTGTGGGGGCACGCAGGAGCTCGGCCCCCAGCCCAGTCCCCAGGATGCCTGGGAAGCGCCGCTGCTACCTTGGGGATCTCCCCTCCAGAGGCGGGGGGCAGGCGCAGGATCCAGAAGTTCCTGTTCTTGAGGAGGTTCTCCAGGTTGAGCAGGCGCTGCTGCAGCTGCCCGTAGCCCTGCAGGAGGGTGCTCAGGGCGGCCAGGCCGCTGCCCAGCTCCCCGACCAGGTTCTCGCAGGCCAGCAGCCGCCGCTCCGCGCGCTCCGTGCGGCTCCGCAGCTCCTGCAGCTCCGACGGGGCCGTGCCCGGCGCCGCCTTCCGCCGGAGGCTGCCCGACACCTGCGGGGGATTCAGGGTCAGGGGCCTGGCCACAGGGTGCTCAGGGAATGGGGACCCGCTCGGGACCCCCGAGGGATGCCCCCAGACCCCTGTTCCGCAGGGATCTGCCAGAGCCTGGCCGCCACCCCCATGTCCCCCTGTCCCCTTTGCCACGGACTAAATGGAGACCCCCTGAACAGACACCCCAGGGGAGCCCCCAGGAGCAGCACCTCTGGGGGGTTCCCCAGTTCCTCCTTTCCCAGAGCAGCGTCCTTGGCAGATCCCTTCACCCCCACGAACCGGCATCCCTGGGGCAGCCCATCCTCCCGAGCTGTCGTCCACGCCCAGGATCCAGAGGGACACCCCTGACTCCCAGACCCAGCACTGCTGGGGGCTCCCCCAGCACCCCCTCCCTGGGGGACCCCTCAACCCCCCAGGACCAGCTGTCCCGGAGACCCTCGAGCTGTCACCCCCCAAAGGCCGCTCCATGCCACCTCCCTCCCTCCATCCCCAGCACCCCGAGGGACGCCCTGACCTCCAGTGCCACTTCTCCCGTGGGACCCCCGCGCGCCCCTGACCCAGCACCGCTGCGGCCCGCCCCGTCCCGTGTCCCGTCGCGCATCCCGGCCCGTGGCCCGTGGCCCGGGCGGGCCCTGACCTGCGCGGGCCCCCGGCGGGACACCCCATCCCATCCCGTCCCGTCCCGTCCCGTCCCGTCCCGTCCCAACCCCGTCCCACGGCAATCTCTATTCCCACCCCATTCCCGGGCACGCTCCGGTACCTCCAGTCCCTTCCCGCTCCGAGCCCGCCCGCCCGGCTGAGCCGCATCCTCCTCCCGGGAATTCCAGGGCATCGACTGCGACTCCTGCGGGACACACGCGGGTGTGGGAGCCCCATCCCCGCATCCCCGCATTCCCGCATTCCCGCATCCCGGCTCACCTCGCTCAGCACGGAGAAGCAGCCGGAGCAGGGTCTGTGCGGCCGCCGCCGGCCCTGCGGAGGGAAGGCTGGGATCGGCATCTCCCGGAGCGCACCGGGGAATGCGGGCAGGACCGGGAATGCCGAGATCCCCCCCGCTCCCGCCGTGCCCTCCCCGCGATCTTCCGCGGCTGCGGGGGGCCCGGCACTGCCGAGCCCATCCCCGCGGGGACGGGGAGGTTGGAAAAGCCGCACCCCGGGATTTGCCTGCGGGGCCGGGACAGCCCCGGAGGGGCGGGAGGGGGCACGGGGCCACCAAGGCCGAGCTCTGTCATTCCCAGCCCCGTTACTCCCAGTTTTTTCCCTCTCCACACACAACCGACCTCTCTCCCGCGCGCCGCCATCCCGGAGTGGCCGTGGTCAGCTCCGGCCACCGCGGCCACGGCCACGGCCACGGCGGCACAGAGCAGCCACAGCCTCATGGCGTCCCCGCGGCTGGACATTGGCCCCGGTGGCACCACGGTGACCCCGGAAAGGTCACTCGGGGCCGGAGCTGCCGGACACAGGGAGAGAGGAAAGGTTCTGGATAAGGGATGAGCTGGAGGAAAGTTCTCCCCAGAACTCTGCCTCGGGGGTCCTGCTCTTGCTGCACCTCTCAGGGGGCCCTGGAGTCCTGGCATGGCCTGGATCATCCAGTCTCCTGCCACAGCAATTCCAGACCCTGCTCCTGTAATAACCCCCACAATTCCAGCTTCTGGGATTGTTGTTAAACCAAAGCAGGCTCGCTGTATCCGTTTGGTGATCAGCCATTAGTCCTGGCCACTGAGGATCCCTAGGATACGATGGAATTTGATTCATTCCAAATTTCTGGCTTTGGTGGCGCAGATGTGAAAGCTCCAGGCAGGACAGAGGAATTCCACAGGGAATTCCAGGAGGTACGGAGACTGTTAGACGGAGACTGCTTGCACGGGGTTGGTGGGAAGGGAATCGTGGACAAGCTGCACACGGGAGATACAGAACATCGGGAAATTTATCCAGGAGAAGAGGGAAATGTGGAGGAGGCGGATGCAGGAGGCAGCAGGGAAGGATGTGCGGGCAGCGGGGAACACGAGCGCAGGCCTCAGGCAAGGCCATGGGAAATCCCAGAGCCGGGACCAGATCTGAGAGATTTCTGGTGGAAAACCTGAGGATTCTCCCGCTAGATTTGGGATTTCGGGAGAATCAATGACCCTGGAGGCCAAACGGGATCAGAGCGGGCGGGATCCGGGTGGGCTCGGCCTGCGCTCGCAGGGAACAGGGACAGCACGGGAGGGAACGGCCTCAGGGGAGAGACACCGGGACAATCCCTCCCGGGAAGGGCCGTGCCGCGTTCCCGTTCCCATTCCCGTTCCCGTTGGGACTGAACCCCGGCTCCGGGCTCGCCTCACGTGCCGGGGTCACCGCGGCGCTTCCGGGGCGCCGCTTCCGGCTGGGCCATGGCGGCGCTTCCGCTGTGGGCGGGGCCTGTGCCGGAAGCGCGTGCGGGTGAGGGGGCGGGAGGGGCCGGGACCCCCCCGAGCCCCCCCGGGCTCCCCCGAGACCCGCGGGGCCCCCCGGCCGCCATGGCGGGGCAGGCGCAGGTAGGAGCCGGGAGCTGGCGGGGGGAGCCCCGAGCCGCCCTCGCCGCCGCCCGGGCCCTCGATGTGCGGACCCCCGACCCCCCCCGGATCCGGGGGGGTCCCGCAGCGCCCCCTCGGCAGCTGCCGGCGGGACTCGGCCTCCAATGGCGAAGGACCCCCCACCCCCATCACCCTCCCAGCCCCACCCCAAAAACCCAAATGACCCCCCCAACTCCCAAAACCCCTATCGCCCCCACATTTCCCCCCACATCCCTCCCCTCCCTCTCTCTGCCCCCTGTTCCCCCATCCCCACGGGGATCGCTCCTGAGGGATTTCCTGGGATGGGCCCTGGAGGTCACGGGGGCTGCTGGGAATGTCCCCCAGCCCAGCTCCAGGTGATCTGGGGTCCTGGACTGTCCCAGTCCCACTGGGATCACGCAGTGCTCCCAGTAGGAACGGTAAAACACATCCCAAGGTGCTGGATTCTGGTATTTGGTGCTGGATTCCAAGCTGTCGTTCTCCCAGATCCGTAATTCCCACCCCAGTGGGGAACACACCTTCCTGGGACAGCCCCATCCATGGCCTCATGTCCTGAGAGCTCCTTTGGGCTGGGAGAGGCTTCTCCTCTTGGGAGGGAGGGTGTGATCCCTGAGGGAGGATTAGATCTGTGAGGGAAAGTGTGATCCCTGAGGGAGGGTGTGATTCCTGAGGGAAGGTGTGATCCCTGAGGGAGGATTTGATCCCTGAGGAGGGTGTGATCCCTGAGGGAGGTTTAGATCCTGAGGGAGGATTAGATCCCTGAGGGAGGATTAGATCTGTGAGGGAAGGTGTGATCCCTGAGGGAGGATTTGATCCATGAGGGAAGCTGTGATCCCTGAGGGAGGATTTGATCCCTGAGGGAGGATTTGATCCCTGAGGGAGGATTAGATCCATGAGGGAAGCTGTGATCTCTGAGGGAGGATTAGATCCCTGAGGAGGGTATGATCCCTGAGGCAGGATTAGATCCCTGAGAGAGGATGTGATCCCCAAAGGAAGGTGTGATCCCTGAGGGAGGGTGTGATTCCTGAGGGAAGGTGTGATCCCTGAGGGAGGATTTGATCCCTGAGGAGGGTGTGATCCCTGAGGGAGGGTGTGATCCGTGAGGGAAGGTGTGATCCCTGAGGGAGGGTGTGATCCGTGAGGGAGGATTAGATCCATGAGGGAAGCTGTGATCTCTGAGGGAGGATTAGAACCCTGAGGGAGGATTAGATCCCTGAGAGAGGATGTGATCCCCGAAGGAAGGGGTGATCCCTGAGAGAGGATGTGATCCCCGAAGGAAGGTGTGATCCCTGAGGAGGATTTGATCCCTGAGGAAGCTGTGATCCCTGATCCCGTGGCAGGAGCCGATGACCTTCGAGGACGTGGCGGTGTTCCTGAGCCGGGCCGAGTGGGACGCGCTCACGGCGGGGCAGCGGGAGCTGTACCGGGATGTTGTGTCCGACACCTACGAGCTGCTGACCTCCCTGGGTAATCCTGGGAACCATCCCGGGCAGGGCTTTCCTCAGATCCCACCCCAGCGGCTTCCAGAGTGCTGAATCCCAGAATCCCAGAGTGGCTGAGGTTGGAAAAGGCCTCGGAGATGGCCGAGTCCAACAATTCCCCAACACTGCCAAGGCCACCACTAATCCGTGTCTCCAAGTGCCTCATCCTCACAGCTTTCCAATCCCTCCAGGGCTGGACAGCCCTTCCCATGAGAAGTTTTCCCTTTTAGGGGCTGATCAGGGAGTTTAGTGCTGGAAAAGGCAGGATTGGGGTCTGGGTTTGAGCATCCCTGGAAATGATTCCCTAAAGATCAGGGAGCACGGTGGGATGTCCCACCCCTGGGATGAGCAGGAGACACTCCCTCACTGGCAAAGCCTGTCAGTGGAACTGGGAAGCTGTGGAACTTCCCACACTTCCATCAGGACTCTCAGGAATAAATCCCTCCCTGGCAGCAGCTCCAGTTTCTCCCTCACTTTTCCCGCATCTCAGAAGTGTTTCCATGCACGGTGAGGCACAGCTGGGGTGTCCCAGTCCTTGGTTTTCCCCTGATCAGGGACAGTCCAACGCTCTCTGTGCCATTCCCAGGTTATTCAGGCCCCAAGCCCGACATCCTGCACCGGTTGGAACGTGGGGAAGAGCCGTGGATCTGCTCATCCCCAGGTGAGCAGCAACATCCCAACCCTGTGGGATGGAATCCACATCCAGGATGGGGTCAGGGCTTCCTGCTCCATCCCCGTGGCTGTGGAGAAGTCAGGATTCCTGGTGGGGACAAGGACAGAGCTCTTCCTTCATTCCCCTGGCTGTGGAGAGTCAGGATTTCCAGCCTGGCTGGTGACATCTGCTGTTTTCCCTGCAGGACATGCTGGGAGCTGGCTGGAGGAGCCTTCCTCGGGTGGGTGGCCCAGGGCCAGTGGGTACCAGGGGCTGGAGACCTCATGTCCAGGTGAGTCCTGCTCCAGCCCCATTCCTGGGCCACTCCCAGGGCTTCTCCCATTGCAGGGCTCCCCTGATGTCTGGCAGAGGTTGGGATGTGGAGCCTGGGCAGTCCCAGACTGGGAAGAAGGGATGTTCCTCTCCCTGCTCCAGCCAGGAAGGATTCAATCCCTTCCCACCTCTTTCCCAGCAGGATGCAGCACCTTGTGGTGTCTCCAGGACAGGAGCTTCCAGAAGAAGTTTGGCTGTCACGAGGGAAGGAGTGAAGTCCCATCGGAAGCAGACATTGGAGTGGGGAACCAAGCCCAGCCATGGCTTGTGAAGGAGGAAGTGGAGGATAAACCTGAACTCAGAGAAGACATAACCCACAGTGAGACATTCTCGCTTCATTCCGTAATGGAGCAGCAGAGCCTGAGTCCTTGGGGACAGCTGTGGGATGGCCCTGGAGAGAGGAGTCAAGGGAATGCCCAAAACCATGGACACACCTTGGGAGAGGCGACGCTTCTCCCAAGAACCCGGGAGCTGCGGGTGGAGGAGCTGAGAGCGGCGGTGGCGAAGGACCACGGCTACTGCCTCCGGAACGAGCCGGGCACGCCCTGCACGCCCCGGCCCTGCTGCCTGTGGGAACACAACTACTGCCAGCAGCACCAGGCCGGGACGAGAAGGTGTGATCCCTGAAGCCGCGAGGACGGGAGGAGCTGCGAGGCCGGGAGGAGCCACGAGGACGGGAGGAGCCACGAGGACTGGAGGAGCTGCGAGGACGGGAGGAACCGCGAGGCCAAGAGGAGCCACGAGGATGGGAGGAACCGCGAGGCCAAGAGGAGCCGTGAGAGCTTCCAGAAGAAGTTTGGCTGTCACGAGGGAAGGAGTGAAGTCCCATCGGAAGCAGACATTGGAGTGGGGAACCAAGCCCAGCCATGGCTTGTGAAGGAGGAAGTGGAGGATAAACCTGGACTCAGAGAAGACATAACCCACAGTGAGACATTCTCGCTTCATTCCGTAATGGAGCAGCAGAGCCTGAATCCTTGGGAACAGCTGTGGGATGGTCTTGGAGAGAGGAGTCAAGGGAATGCCCAAAACCATGGACACACCTTGGGAGAGGCGACGCTTCTCCCAAGAACCCGGGAGCTGCGGGTGGAGGAGCTGAGAGCGGCGGTGGCGAAGGACCACGGCTACTGCCTCCGGAACGAGCCGGGCACGCCCTGCACGCCCCGGCCCTGCTGCCTGTGGGAACACAACTACTGCCAGCAGCACCAGGCCGGGACGAGCTGCGAGGCCGGGAGGAGCCGCGAGGACGGGAGGAGCTGCGAGGCCGGGAGGAGCCACGAGGACGGGAGGAACCGCGAGGCCAAGAGGAGCCACGAGGATAGCACTGCCCAGGCCGTGCGCCGCCGGGTGGCGCGGCGGCAATTCCACTGGGGCAGGACGTTCCGGAGAGCCAGGGAGATCCTGCGGCGCTACCAGCCCTACTGGAGGTTGGGGTTTCCGTGGAGAGACCGCTCCAGCTCCAGTGGCGCCACGCCGGGGACGAAGCCTGCGGTTTGTCCTCTGACGAATGAAGCCGCGCCACGCCAGCTCCAGGGCACCGGGAATGCTGAGGGGGAGACATTGGACACACAGTGTGCCCCAGAGGGGATTGTGGGAACTGGGGGTTCACCCCCTGCCCTAATCCTGGATGCAGGGGTGGGGAAGAGAGCAAAGCCTCTGGAACATCCTGGTGCCAGACAGGAGCTTGAAGGATGTGCTGCACCCCAGAAATCGCAGGAGGTGTCGCTCCAGGACGTGTTCCGGAATGTGCTGAAGGCAGTCAGGTACATACTGGACTCCATGTGCCAGAAGTTTGAGCTCCAGGGGGTCTCCCAAGGGAAGAGCATCTGGCCCATTATCATCCAGATTGACAACTTGACGGAGATCAGGAAGCACTGACTCCTGGGGAAAACTTGAATTGGATTCCCTGAGGCACAGCACTCAATCTCCCCCAGTTCTGGGGGGTTCGGGAGGAAAAATGTGGCAGATGTGGATTGGGGAAGGTGAAACTGGGAATGTGGGATCTGCCCTGAACTGGGATTGATTGAGAGGCTTTGGAGAAAAGCAGTGGGAAAGAGGAGGATTCGTGTGGCTCGAAGGAGGAAAGAAGGAAAAATGAGCATGGGATTCTGCAATCCTGGAATGGCTTGGGTTGGAAGGGATGTTAAATCCATCTCTAAAAACCAACCAGGGGTTGGGCTGTGCTCCTGTCACCAAAACAATGGGAAAAACAAACCGACGTTTTTGGTGTTAGACAAGGCATTTCCTTATTTCTGGCTGGGGTATGCAACAGAAATTATTTCAACCACACATGGCCTGGGTGTGCAGAGAAAACCATTTCATCACAGGCAAACTTTACTCAATTTTTCCCAAACTTTATCCAGTCCAAAACCCACAGAAATCCATTGGTTCAATGCTCATTTGTTCCAAATTGCAGAGTTCTCAGAATTCGGTTTCTTATTGGACCAGGATTTTTTTGCCTCTGGTGTTTATTGGGCTGTCACTAATTTCTTTATCAGCCTTTTCCAGCCCCAGGGGTCTGGGGTAGATGTTCCTTGATGTTTGCTGATGGTTGTTATCTTTTTGGGTGTCTTTTGGGCTATTCCCAGTTTGTTGAGATGTTAAGTTTGTCAGGCTTCACAGAGGTGAACAATATCCTTGAAAAAATATTCGTCTAATTCCCTTCTCCAAGTCAAAGGCAAACTGAGCCTAACTAGAGAAATAAAATAAATTTGAAACGTTGTATAGTTGCCAACACTCCCAGGGAGCAGGGAGAGGATGAGGAGAAAGAACCTCGAGTTGTGCCAGGGAGGGTCAGGTTGGGTTGGCTTGGGTATAGGGAAGGACAAAGGAAGGTTTAGTTCCAGTCGTGTGGAAGCGTTTTCCTGGGAAATCCAGCCTGGCCTGAATTCCCAGCAGCTTTTGGAACCTCTGGAATTGGATCATGACAAGGAAAAGGTGATTTCTGGGATGTTCTCCAAAGCCCTTCCAGGGGCCAGGTGCTGTTATGGGGACAGAAGGAATCCAACAAATTCAAACAAACTGAGCACCGTGGAGCCATTCCCTTTCTCCATGGAACTGGGGTGACCTGGGGAAAATCTGGGATGCCTGAATTTGGGATGCTGGTTTTGGCAGCAGGATGTTCCTCACAGCTGTGGGGTGTTGACTTTGGGGCTTTCAGCATTCTCCTCTGAGATCCCAAATCCTTCTGAGGGAGCTGGAGGGGCTCATCCTGGAGAAGAGCAGGCTCAGGGGGCACCTTCTGGCTCCTGCAATTCCCTGGAAGGAGGCTGGAGCCAGGAGGGGTGGGCTCTGCTCCCAGGGCGCAGGACAAGAGGGAAGGGCCTCAAGGGCAGGTTCAGGTGGACATTGGGAATGTTCCTCCTGGAAAGGGAGGGGATCTCCAGCCCTGGCCCAGCTGCCCGGGGCAGAGGTGGAGTCCCCATCTCTGCAGGGATCTAAAAGCCCTGTGGATGTGGCACGTGGGGACATGGGACAGTGCTGTGCTTGGACTCGGGCATCTCTGAGGGCTTTGCCAATCTCAGCAATTCCATGACTCCGCAATTCCTGGAAGGATATTCCCGCCTGTCAGTGCCAGCAGGCGGTGAAATGGGATTTCAAAGCCAATAAAACCGGTGAAGTGTCTCGGGAGCCGCTGTGTTCCGGCTCCAGGCGTGTTTTGAGGGTCGGGGCTTCCCGTCACCTTTCCCCAATCTCGGGGTCCCCCCAGGACCCCCGACCCGCACGGCGCGGAAGCAGCACCACCGTCGCCCAATCGCGGTGCGACCTGCAGGTCACGTGCCTCACTCCGCCAATCACAGCGCCCGCCGCGCTACCCGGATGCTGTACGGCCTCCCAACATGGCGGCGCCCAGTGAGCGCGGGAACGCGCCCCTTCCGGGTCGAGGCAGAGGCGACGATTGGGGCGTGGCCTAATGCGGAAGCACCAGGGCGTGTTGACCTGCGTGGCCACGCCCCCTTTGCGCGGTTGCCATGGAGACCAGGGCGGTGGCGCTGCCGTGGAAACCAGGGACGGGCCCGGAGCGGGAAACGGGAACACGGCGGGACCGGGCCGGGACCGCCACATCCACAGGGATTTTAAATCCCTTCACCAATGGGGACTCCAGCACTGCCACGGGGAGCTGTGCCAGGGCTGGGCAGCCTTTTTGGGGAAGGAATTTTCCCAAATCCAGCCCGAACCTCCCCTGGCCCAGCCTGAGGCTGGTTCCCCTTGTCCTGTCCCTGTTCCCTGGGAGAAGAACCCGAACCTGGTTCAGACCTTTCATCCCCACCACGCTCTGGACCATCCGTGGCCAATGTGGGAAATGATTTGTAGGGAATTCTCAGAACCAGACAGAAGGCTCACGCAGCGTGTGCATCTGTGTGCAAACTGAGATCAGAAATGCTGACTTGGGAATGCCATGGAGTGGACAGATATTGCTGAGAGACAAATGGAACCAGGAACGAGTTTTAAAGGATGGCCTTGCAAACAGGACTGGATACTTTGGAGAAATAGAACTGTGAAAGATTAAAAAGTAATTTTAGATGGTTGGCTTTAAAACGTTTACAGCATGGTGTGGCTAAAGCTGATAAGCCAAGAAACATTTATAATGTATTGTAATTAGGAAATAGTTGGCTTCTGATTGTGATGGTGTGAATTATAACATCTGCATTGTCTCACCCTTCACATGAGACTGAAAACGGAATAAAAGTTTTAAAAACCTCTCAGTTGCCCCACCTCTGGGTCGGAAAGGAGCTTAATCTGACAGGCCATCTGTCACCACAGTCCCTGTCCTCGCTGTCACCCCCTGGTGACACATTCCCTGCCCTGGGGACCCCCTGGTCACACATTCCCTGCCCTGGGGACCCCCACGGCACAGGACCCCACACCCTGTGGCCTCTCCCCGCTGCCGGTGACCAGCACACCCATCCCCGCTGCCCGGGGCACCGCGGCGGGCCGGGCCGGGCTCCTGGCCAGATTCATCCCCCCGGAATGTCCCTGTGTGCCAGCCCCCGCTACGCCCAGGACAGCTCCCATAAAAGCGCTGCCGGCCCGCTGGGGAGCAGGATCCGGGATCCAGGAGCGCCATGGGGCCGTGCCGAGCGCTGCCACCGCTGCTGCTGCTGGGGCTGGGGCTGGTGCTGGCTGGAGCTTCCACTCCGGAGCCGCGCGGATCCACGCTGGGACAGGACGGAACCGATGGAACCGCGGCGTCGTCGTCCTCGCCGCGCTCCCTGAGCTACGGGGACGTGGTGGCGGCGGCCGTGGAGCTGCTCAACGCCAGGGCCGTCAGTCCCTTCGTCCTGCGGCTGCGGGAGGCTCAGCCCCGGCCCGGCTGGGTGAGTGCTGGGCTCGCCCTTTCCAGGGGAAACTCCAGGGCTGGGCAGTGCTGGATCCGGCCCTGCTCAGGGTGGATCTGCCCCGTTTTGGGTCCCCTGAGGGACCGAGCGCAGCCGCGTCGGGGCTGAGCCTGACCCATTCCAGGCTGGATGTGGCCCCTCTTGGGGCTGGTTCTGGCCCGTTGTGGGGCTGGGCACTGGAGGCAGTGGATCCCTGATGGATCCTGTCCCTTTTCCCAGCCCTCAGACCTGCAGAGCCGGCAGGAGCTGAGCTTCACCCTGGAGGAAACCACGTGCAGGACGCCGGGAACGGACACCGGCAACTGCAAGAGCCGCTGGCTCGGGGTGAGGCTTCGTCCCGTGGGAACTGGGGGTTATCCCGTGGGGAAACTGAGGCACGAGGGGGTGGGCTCTCCTGTGTCCCCTCTGTGTCCCACAGGCGGTGACCTTGTGCCAGGGCTCCGTTTTCCTGGAGGGACAGCAGCCCACGATGGAGCTCTCCTGCGAGAAGGCCCCGGCCGCGGTGAGAAGGGGCTGGAATGGCTCCGTGTCCCTCCGGGGGTCTCCCGGGTCCCCTCACCGCCCCCTCCCCCAAGTCTGACCCTGCTCTTTGTTTTCCCCAGTTTGGCCAGATCTGGAAATCCAAGATCAAGGATTTCTTTGGCAAGGTCAAGCAGCGTTTCCGGGGGTTCTTCCAGTGCGGTCGGATCTGGATCCGGGACAGGCTCAACCTCAAGGCACCCAAACCCTGAGGGGTGACACTGCTGTGCCCCTGCCCTGTGTCCCCACCTTGTGTCCCCTCCCTGTGCCCCCTCCCCAGGTGCTTCAGTGCCAATAAAGGTCCCTGCATCACTCCTGGTGTCACCTGAGTGTCCCAATGGGGACCCCCGAGCGCTCCCGGACCCCCCAAATCCCCCCGTGCCCAGCCAAGGAGCTGTGAGAGCTGGGAACACCCTGGGGGTCATGAATGGGGGGCGTCACGAGTGGGGGGCGCTCACTGGGGTCCCCTGGAGAGACAAAGGGACCCCCCTGCAGGTGCTGCCACCTCGGGACCCCCCGACAGCCCCTCCCCAGCCCCCGCTGCTTCCCGGCCCTGCCGTGCCGTTCCCTGCCACTGTCACCACAAGGGGGACGCGAGGATGTGGACGGTGCTGGTGACAGAAGGTCCCAGGGGGAGCAGGAGCAGCTCCCCCAAAATGGGCACAACACGGGCACCACCGGGGTCCCCTCCCGGCACCGGCCCCCTGCAGGGACTTGGAGCCCTGGGGTTGTCCCTCCCTGTCCCCAGGACACCCCGGAGGGTTTGTGGGGTACAGACCCACAGGAATATTGGGGGACAGGAGGGACATCCCCAGGGGATGCAGCCATGACCCTGCTCCAGCCGCTTTTGGGGCTCAGGGGTCCCCGAGCCCCGCAAATCTGCACCCGCAATGTCCCTGTCCCAAACTGGGTTCACTATGGGGGTCCTTTTTTCGGGACCTGAACCGCCCCAGCCCCTCCCTTGCCACTCCCTGGAGGGTTCACAATGTCCCCTGTGTCCCCTCCCCACCTCCCTTTGCCATCACTGCTGGTTTGGGGGGGACAAGATGCAGAGGGGACAATGCCACCACGGGGACAAGGGCTGTGGGGACAGTGACACCCTGGGGCTGACGGTGGTCCCTTTTTCGGGTGGGGTCCTGGGGGCTCCCCAGAGCGAGCCCATCCCTGTCCCCAGTCCGACTCCACGTCCCCTTGAGGACGATGAGGAGGAGCAGCCCCGTGTCCCAGCCGTGCCTCAGTTTCCCCGTGTGACAGAGCCAGGAGGTCGCGGTGCCCACACGGCCACTCCCGGTGGCCCCTTTATTGCTCAGCCCAGCCCCACGGAGCCCTTCAGGCGGACGTCGAACTTGATCCTGGGTCGGAAGTGCCGGACCTTCCCCAGGAAGCGCCCGAAGCGGCCGCGCTGGATCAGAACCGGCTGCCGGAGGGATGGGGGGGTCAGGGGGGGCGGGGGTGTGGGACTCCCCCTTGGAGCACAGCCGGGACCCCACCCAGGGCCCCCCGCAGCTGGAAACCCACCCAGGACCCTGAACCAGGGACCCCATCCCCAGGATCCCACTCCAGGGTTATTCCCCCCCAGGACCCCACTTCAGGGACTCGTGTCCCCGCACCAGGGACCCCACACCTGGGACACCTGGGACCCCACATCCAGAATCCAACACTTGGGACCCCACCCGTGTCCCCAAGCCCAGACCCCACCCAGGACGCCCCACCTGGGGCCCTGCACCCCGCACCCAAATCCAGGACCCCCACCCAGCACCTGTGAGCTCCCCAGGACCCCCCACCCTCCTCTGGAGCCATGGCGGGGCAGCGCAGCCCCCGGGGTGTCCCTTTTGGGGGCTGTGGACCCTCCAGGGACCCTCCCCTGCCGCCCCCGGCTCCCCCCGCTCACGTCGGAGGAGGCGTCGGAGCAGTGCAGGTCGATCTCGGGGGAGTCCTGCCGGAACTTCAGCGGCCCCGAGCACTCCTTGATGACCTGGGGGGACACGGGGACACGCGGTGTCACCTGGGGATGGCAGAGAGCCCCCGTGCCCCCTTCCTCCCGCTCCTGCTCCTCCTCCTCACCCCGTTCTCCTTGAAGTTGCAGTCGTCGGGGTTGGTGCGGGCGCTGGCGGCGCAGTCCGTCTCCATCACGCTGAAGTTGAGTCTCTGCAGCGAGCTCAGCTCCACGCCCTGGGGACACGGGTGGGTGGCGGTCACCAGGGGCAGGTGGCAGGACAGGGGTCAGCAATTGGAGTGGCACGAGGAGGGGGTCACCAGTGGGGTGGCAATCACTGGCGTGGGCTCAGGGCCAGCGCTGGGCGGTCACGATCATGAGGGGTGCGTGACAAATGGGGGGTCAGGAGTGGGGGGACAGGAATAGGGGTCATGGGGGGTCACGATGGGGTGACACTCACGGGTCAGCACTGTGCGCCCCGAGTGGGGTACCACGAGTGGGGGGACAGGAATAGGGGTCATGGTCACAAATAGGGGGTCCCGAGTGGGGGGCACTCACCAGGGCAGGCTCAGGGTCGGGCTGGGCAGCCCCGATCAGGCACCACGAGTGGGGTGGGGGTGTCACCCGTGGGGGGGTCCCGGGTGGGGGGCACTCACCGGGCCGGGCTCGGGCTCCGCGCTGAGCAGCCTGAAGGCGTTCTGCACCTCGGGCTGCTGGTTGTAGGAATCCACGGCCTGCGCCAGCGCCTCGGTGTAGGACAGGGACGCGGGGCCGGGGAGGGCGCAGGCCCCCCCCAGCACCGCCAGCACCAGCACCCACGAGCTCGGCATCGCTGTCGCCACGGCCACCCCCGGGCCCCTTTTATCCCCCACGGGAGGTTGGGGACCCGCCCCGGGGCTGCCCCTTGGGACACGCCCGGCCCGAGCCGCAGAGCGGCCGTTCTTTTGGGGGGATGCGCGGGGCGGGGGGGTCCCCGTGTGTCCCCTGGATGGGCGGTGACATCTGAACCCCTCGGGGTCCCCACCCTCGGGAGCCCCTTGGCCGGGCTCGGGGGGTTTGGGGGCCAGGGCCCCTCGGGTGGTGACACGTCGCCCGTGTCAGGTTGGTGCCCGCGGCGTTGCACAACCCCAAAGTTGCGCCATCGCTGTTGCCCAACGCCGAGGGTGCGCCCCGGGTCCCCCGAACCGTCACCCCCACACACGCACACGTCCGACCCCGAAATCTCTTTATTTTATGTCTGCAGCTCCGCTGGGGACAGGGGGCGGCGGGACGGTCCCTGCAGGGACGCGCTGGGAGGGGGGCGAGGCCGCGGGGGCGGCCCCGAGGATGATGAGGATGATGAGGAGGATGAGTGACCTGCGCTGGTGCCAGGGGAGCGGGGCTGGGCGCTGTCACCGGGCTGCTGCGGGGAGAAATAAAGGGGGAGTTTCACTCCAGAGCCAAAACTCCCCCCGAAGTGAGGGGGACGCGTGTCCCACCCCCAGGATGCGCTCCCGGAGCCCTCACCGGCTCCCGGCCGCACTCCACCATCGACAGCGGCACGTCGGGCAGGAAGGTGAACACGGACACCTGGGCCGAGCAGCGCTGCACCTGCGGACAGAGCGGCCTCAGCACGCCGCAGACCCCCCGTGCCCCCGGGTTTGGGGGTCCCACCCCACGCTCACCCTGCCCGGGCGGCCCCGGCAGCCGCGGGGGTCCGGGGCGGGCTTGGGGCAGGGCGGCTGCCGGGCCGTGAAGTTGATGCTGAAGTGGGTCCCCCAGTCGAAGCTCTGCCGGGACAAAAGCTCCGTGGGGCCCCGCACGGGGATGGGTGCGGGAACCGGGAGCACCCCCCGCACCCCTTTTCCTACCGTCCTGGCCACTCCGAGCAGCCGCAGCAGCCGCAGCTCCTGCCCGTGCGTCTCCAGCACGGAGCGCGCCAGCTCCCGGGGCGCGGGCATGGCCGGGGGCACGGCCGGGGCCGGGGCAGCGCCCGCCGCCAGCAGCACGGCCCCCAGCAGCAGCAGCGCCATGCGGGCGGCAATGCGCCCCGGGCTCGGCAGCAGCCCCGGGCTCGGCCCTCGGCTCGGGGCCCCCCGCTCCGGCTCCAGGGGAAAGAGCGGCCCCCGTGCCGCGGGAGGGGATCGGGTTGCCGGTGTTTTCCTTGGCCCGGTGCCGCGGGGGGAGCGTGCCTGGACCTGCAGGGGATGCGGCGATGCTGGAGCTCGGCAGGGCCGATCCCCATCCGCGGCCCCTTGGCCGTGCCTGCTCCGTTTCTTGGCGCGCTGGTCCAAGCGAGATCCTGCTCCTCCAGAGCATCCTCCTGCTTCCCCCAGAGAGAAGAACCAGGAGCCCCCTCCCCTCTCCCAGTTTCTTTACATGACTTTGGGTTTTTAAAATCCCTCTCAGCCTGCTCAGATTCATCCCAACACCCCAGGCCCAGGTTTTCCTTGGATTCAGGAACACAGGCTTTGCCAAGGACTCCACTGTGTGGATCCTGCTCTCCCAGTCTACCTTCCCTGGGTCAGAGGGTCTTGTTTCCCCAAAATTCAGGATTTTCGTGTTGCCTTTGGAGCTAGGAGCTCCCCCTTCTCCTCCCTTCATCCACAATGGAAAAGCAAAGAATTCCCTGGGGAAGGAATCCCAGGAAGCACATCTGGGAGACACCTGAGGCTCCCGGGATCCCTGGGCCTGGGAACAATGCTCTGGAAGCCCTGGGGTCATTGACAGCCCTGGGGTCAGGGGAGCTGCTGCTCTTCCAAAGGTGTTTGTTCCAATATTCCCACTCCTAGGGACATAAGAGCCAGGTGGGAGATGGTGGGAGGGAGAAGGGATAAGGGAACACCAGGAGGGCAGCTCACCAGAGCCTCCTCTGCCCATGGAGACCATCGGGAGGGGTCCTGGAGAAGAGAAGATGCCACAGGCAACAACTTCATTCTGATCGTGTTTTTTCTTATTTTTCCTTTTTAAAGTCTGAGCAGCACAGAAAAGTCCAAAGGATTCCCATTCCTGGGAAGCCAGCAGTGGATAGATGTGGGAGAAATGGATATGTCCTGATAGATCACATTTATAACCAGATATGCTCATTATAGACCCTAAAATGTACACAGTACCCCAACACAGACATCCACATGTACAGCCAGAGTCAATCCCAGGGATGCTGGGAGCAGGAGCAGACACCAGGAGCGGGGCTGGGGGGCACATCCTGCTCCCAAATCCCTGGCAGCTGGGATGGGGTCACGTTCCTGCTGCCTGGCCCTGCCTGCCCGGAGGAGGTATGGCTGTGCCCAGGCTGGCACGGGCAGAGCCGGGCACGGAGAGCTCCGGAGGGACGGCGGGTCACGGATCATGCAGGACAGGGGCTGAAGGGCTGATGCAGGGAAGGTGCTGCCAGGCAGCTCTTTGGCTCTGCCAGCATCCCAAAGTTTCCTGGCACAAAACCCATGGCAAAGACCTTTCCCAGCAGAGCACGACAAACTCATGACGTATTTTCCTTGCCTCTCCTAAAATATCCCAGTCTCTTTGTTCCAGCTGCCTCTCAGGCTTGGAAAATACCTCAATAATTAATTTAAAGGACATCCTGATAATCTATTTTCCATTTTGAAACCCTCAGGCTGTTGCCTGGAGTCGTTTCCATCCATCCTTCTCCAGAGCTTGCCCAAACGATCCTGGTTTAACTGAACTTTTCTTCTTCCTGGTTTCTCCATCCTGTGGCTCTTGTGGAGAAGTTTTCCACATCAAGCTGAGGAAAGCACGAGAAACTGGGGGTGTCTTGTGTAAGAAGCTCCTGGAAGCAACAGCGCCGTGTTTGTCCTCTTTGGCGACCCCCTGTGCAACCAGGACCCCCCAAATCGCTGCTGATGCCCCTGGGAGGGCTCAGGTGGTCTTGCTGCTCCAAGAAGGTGCAGGTGGATTTTCCAAGTCCTTGAAGTGGCCGTTTTTATGTCACAATGAAGCCTGGCCCCCTCCCCCGGCTCACAACGGCACTTCCCAAAGGCGTAACCGCAGGAAAACCGACGATGGCTGGATGGATCCGCTCGGCTTCGGCTCCGGAGAAGGCTGAGGGGTCTTTGCTCATAAACTCACCACATTTGACCCTTCAGGACCTTCAGCCCGAAAAGTTACAGGTGGGGATTACTCTCAAGTCAAGTTTGTGTTCGGATCGAGCACCTGGAAATCCTGGCACGCTCGCCGCAGCCGAGACACCCCCCCAAACCAACCCCCCCCACGTCAGATGGTGAGGAGCGGCACGCAGCCCACGCCCACGCCGCCCTCGTGGCACACCATGGGCGCCATGAACGTCCAGCGGTTGGTCTCGGGGTCGTACATCTCCACCGAGCTCAGGTTGGACTGTCCGTCGTAGCCGCCCACGGCGTAGAGCCGCCCGCAGTTGGCCACCAGGGACACGCGGCTGCGGCGGGTGTTCATGGGCACGATCAGGTACCACTGGTCGGCCATGGAGCTGTAGACCTCGGCGGCGCTCAGGAAGCCGGAGCCGTCGTAGCCGCCGCAGACGAACATGCGGCTGCCCAGCGCGGCCGCGCCGTGCCGGCACCGCTTGTTCAGCATGGGCGCCACCGCGTGCCAGCTGGACGTGTGCGGGTTGTAGTACTCCACCTGCCACGGAGCACGAGCACAGTCAGGGAGGGCGCTGCCTTGGGAATCGCCCTGCGGCATCCCCTGTGGGGCTGGCACTGCTGGGGCATCTCCAAACTGGGGGCAGTGTTGGGTTTCTTGTGGTAAGAAGGGAAGGGAAGGGTCTGGAGCAGCAGGGGCAGCTGAGGGGGCTGAAAGGACTGAACAGCCTTCAGTTAAAAGTTCAGCTGCTATGGGATGGTGCCTGAAGGGTTTGGGTTGGAAGGGACCTCACAGCCCATCCAGTGCCACTCCTGCCATGGCAGGGACACCTCCCACTGTCCCAGGCTGTTCCAAGCTCTGTCCAGCCTTGGGCACTGCCAGGGATCCAGGGGCAGCCACAGCTGCTCTGGGCAACCTGTGCCAGGGCTTCCCCACCAGGGCTCCCAGCCAGGAACTACGTCCCAATATTCCACCTAAATCTCCCCTCCTTCAGCTCAAAGCCATTCCCCCTTGTCCTGTCCCTCCTTGTCCCCAGTCCCTCTCCAGCTCTCCTGGAGTCCCTTTAGGCCCTGGAAGAGGCTCTGAGGTCTCTCTGGAGCCTTGTCTTCTCTCCCAGCCTGTCTCCATATGCAAGGGGCTCCAGCCCTCAGAACATCTCCATGGCCCCAAGGGGATAAGTGAATCACTTCTGTTCCACCTCAGGTTTTTCTGTTATGGGTGGAAGTGACACAATTTGGTGGCACAACCACTCGGGGCTGTTTGGATGGCCAGGGAAAGGACACGGATCCTTCCGTGCTGAGGTGCAGGGGCTGAGCCCTGCCCAGGGCCTTACACTGTTGAAGATCTGGAGCCCGTCATGCCCTCCGGACACGTAGATCCGGCCCTCGAACACGGTGACTCCGGCAGCGCTGCGGTTGGAGCTCATGGGGGTCACTGCTGTCCACCTGGGAGGGAGAGGGGAGAGGTCAGCAAGACTCCCACAGATTATTCCATGCTTTTCTAGTGCTGGATTCTACCATCTCTCCTCTCCCCACTCCTTATTCAAACCATTCTCACAGGCCAGATGCCCAGCGGTGCCAGGACATGGAACGCTGGAGGGGAACCTCCTGGAAAAGCTCTGGGACACCAAGGGCTCTTACTTGTTTGTTTCTGGAGAGTAGGACTCCACTGAGTTGAGGGATGAGTTTCCATCGTAGCCACCACACACGTAGATCTGCCCATCCAGCACCACCGTTCCCATGGCACTGCAAGGAACAGCAGGACCTTCTGAGGTGGCTGGAGGTGCTGTCACCCTGTCCCAAACACTGTGACCCCACACACTCTGCCTGTGGCATCCCACCAAAGTGCCTTTTCCCTGGATTCACCTCCAAACTGCTAAGTCCCACTTGAACTCTGAGCTCACAAAGGGGAAAGGTGCTCATGGCAGGAACACCTCAAATCCTGGGTGTGGATTTGGGTCCCTCACAAGAGAAAAAGACATTGGGGGGCTGGAGTGTGTCCAGAGAAGGGAATGGAGCTCGGGAAGGGGATGGAGCACCAGGAGTGGCTGAGGGAGCTCCAGAGAAACCAAGTGAGGGGCACGTACACCCTCCACCCCTCCCCTGCACAGCCTGGGCCAGGGCTGGACAACCCCTTCCAGGAGGAATCTTCCCTGTATCCAACCTGAACTGCCCTGGCACAGCTTGAGGCCATTTCCCCTTGTCCTATCCCTGTACCCTGGGAGCAGAGCCCGGCCCACACCTGGCTGCACCAGAAACTAACCAAGGAAATCCCAGCTGCCTCCACACTGCCCCACTCCTCCTTTCCCATTTTCCCCCCCCCACACCCACACACTGCTGGGCGCCCACCACCTGCCACCCCACTCTTCCTCCAACCTCCTTATTCCTTGCTTTTCCACAAGTCTCCTCCCTGTGAGCTGCACATACCTCCTCTTACTGTTCATGCTTTCCACTTTGGACCAGGAGTCGGTGTCTGGGTTGTAAACCTCCACGGTGCTGAGCCTCAGCTGGCCGTCGTAGCCGCCGATGGCGTAGAGCAGCCCGTTGACCACGGCCACGCCGACGCGGCTGCGCGCCGTGGCCATGGGCTGGCACTTCTCCCAGCGGTTGGCAATGGGGTCAAACACCTCCACCACGTTCAGAGAGTCGCCTGCATAGAAATTTGCTACTCAAATTAAAAGAGGGAGACCTGATGAAGCCCTGCGATGGTGATGGGGGGATAAAGGGGTAAGGGGGTGGTGCTGTGTGCCTGAAGATGGGGTTGGCGTGGGGAGTTTGGCTGCTTTTCTTTGGGAAAATATCTGGGGGAAAAAGGAATGGGAACCTCGTGGGATTCAACAAGGTCAAGTGCAAAGTGCTGCACCTGGGTTTGGGCAAGAAATTCTTCCCTGTGAGGGAGGTGAGGTCCTGGCACAGGGTGCCCAGGGAAGCTCTGGATGACCCTGGATCCCTGGAAGTGTCCAAGGCCAGGCTGGACAGGGCTTGGAGCAGCCTGGGATAGTGGCAGGTGTCCCTGCCCATGGCAGGGAGTGAAACGGGATGATCCTTAAGGTCCCTTCCAACCCAGACCATTCTGGGATTC